GTGAGTATTTCTCGGTGGTTCCGTGGAACACCGTCTTGCAAGTTCTGTAGTGAGCGGAACAGACAACATACCACCCCTGCCTTGAAGCTGACGTTCTAGGCCACGCAGCACAGAAAGGAGGTGAGGGAAACGCGCGGTGTGGGTGCTGGTGATTCCCGAGAAGACGACACAGAGCTGGGGCAGGGGTGCGTGGGGAGCTGAGCGGCGTGCGCCAGGGCGAGAGGCGGGTGCCGCCTGTGGGCACGTGCCTGTGGCGAGTGCTGGGGGGGGGCCTGCGTGTCTCCCAGGGGCGGTTCCGCCTGTCTGGCGAGCCACGTGTGTGTGTCTGAGAGCTTCCGTGGGTCCTAATGAGGATGGCTCCTGTTTGCGGGCGGGAGCGTCGGATCTCACTGCGTGGCCCTACCGTTTTTGGGTCTCTGTAAGTGCTGCCCAGTCTGCGTGTAATGAGATATAACGGCCTGTCAGGTTCAGCTTTACAAGCGCGTGCTATCTAACCTCTAGGAGGTACACAGTTATTTTATTACTAAACTCTTATATGTGGAAAAACTAGAAGGCTTCCCAATTATTTTTATTAAGTTGGTGTGATTTTGATACTACATGAAATAGAAAGGTTGGGATCAAGCTAACTTTTTAGGTTTATTGAGTAATACCTGAAATACAATAAAAATTCAGATATAAGTAAGTTTTGATACATATATGTGTCCATGAAACCATGACTGTGATCATAATAATGAATGAGAAAACTCAGTTTGGGGGCGCCTGGGTGGCTCAGTTGGTTGAGCGACTGCCTTCGGCTCAGGTCATGATCCTGGAGTCCCGGGATCGAGTCCCGCATCGGGCTCCCTGCTCGGCGGGGAGTCTGCTTATCCCTCTGACCCTCCCCCTTCTCTTGCTCTCTTTCTCTCTCACTGTCTCTCAAATAAATAAATAAAATCTTAAAAAAGAAAACTCAGTTTTGAATGAGGAATAAGTCATAAATGGAATATTGGACAGTATAATTCCCAACTTATGAGATACCTACCAAGGACTGGAGCTCATTTCAGGGATAAAAATGAGCGCCTGGGTGGCTCAGTCGTTAAGCGTCTGCCTTCAGCTCGGGTCATGATCTCAGGGTCCTGGGATCGAGCCCCGTGTCGGGCTCCTGGCTCCGCGGGAAGCCTGCTTCTCCCTCTCCCACTCCCCCTGCTTGTGTTCCCTCTCTCACTGTGTCTCTGTCAAATAAACAAATAAAATCTTTTTAAAAAAATGTTTCCATGTTATAAAATGCAAATATCATCATATTTTACCAAGAAGATGCAGCAGGCATTACTGCACAGTGGTAGAAATTATGGACACATTAACACATGGACAGTAACCAGTGGTTGTCTACAAGGGAATAATGAATCTTCTGGCAACTCCATGTATGATAATCAACTTACTGAAGATTTACATGTGAAGGAAGAAGCTAGAACACTCTTAGAAGTTACAGCAAGATTTGATGACTTCAGAATATGGAGAGGTTTTTTTATATAAGAGAAAAGAGTAAGCTACAAAGGAAGAGAATGAGAAATTAAACCCAAACCTATAGACCACTGAAATGTAGAATAAAGGGAGTACAAAGGTAAACACAGTCTGGGAGACAATATTTGCAATACATACAAATGAAAAAGATTCATGTCTAGGGTATATAAAGATATCAGAAGAAACCAATAAACATACAAATGAATTAAAAGTAAGAAAATGACATAAATATTTCATAGATGAAAGACAAAAAGTGCTCAATATCATTGGTAATCAGTAAAAAGCAAGATGTAATCACAAGACAATCCTGTTTCACATGTACTATAGAGGCAAATATTCAGCAATTGCAGTGTTGTCAATCGTGGAATAAATAAACGTATGCAAGAATAGTGGGAGAGTCAGTTCACACATTTCAATGGCACTTCCTATAAATTTGAAATTATCCATAATCTCCAACTCAGTAATTTTTCTCCAATGTATAGAGAATTTGTTGTGCATGGTCATTTGGAAATTGAAACAGGAATGATAGGAGCAGCATTTTTCACAAGAGGAAAACAAACTTGAAACAGCCCCAAAACCATAAACACTGGAATGGATGAGTAAATTGGGTGACCCCCAGCTTCAGATGCCTGCACATGTGAAAAAAGACCGAGGCAAAGAAACCAGTGATGACCATGTTCCTGGTAATTCTATTATTACCCTTTCATGAAAAGCTAAAAAGGGCGCCTGGGTGGCTCAGTTGGTTAAGTGACTGTCTTCAGCTCGGGTCATGATCCTGGAGTCCCGGGATCGAGTCCCGCATCGGGCTCCCTGCTCGGCGGGGAGTCTGCTTCTCCCTCTCCCGCTCCCCCGTCTTGTGCTCTTTCTCTCTCTCTCAAATAAATAAATAAAATCCTTAAAAAAAAAAACCCACAAAAAATGGCAAAGTTAAACAAAACACTATTTAGTAATGAATAATAGATGGCAAAGCTATGAAGAATAACTATAAAGTTCCCAATAGTGGTCACATTAGGGAGTAGGAGGGAAATGAAGAAAGGTGGACACATTGGGAGTCTAATATCTGCCCAAAATCTATTGAGGATTATGTCCAATCTACAGGGTTTATACAGTATTAATATTTAAGCTTAATATAAGACATTTATGCAATGTTTTTGAAGTATGAGATACCACACTATAAAAATTTAAAGAATTATTTACATGTGAAAAAGGTACAATTTTAAAAATATTTGTTTTATCCTGTTATCTAACCGCCTATCTAGTTTTGGTTTCAGTCACTTTGGAGGTATTCACAAGTCTTTTAACTGGGTCCATTTAACTTGCCTTTGTATTCATTTGAATAGCAAAAGATTGGGTATGGGGCCAGTTTCTAAAAAGAACTGGTTACACAATATTATAGCATCATATGAACCTTGCTATGAAAAGAGCTGCAGGAATTTATTTCCAATTGAATAGAATCAAAGCATATATCAGTGTATAAACCATGTTACCTTAGTATGTCTAAGGGAAGAAAAAATGTAGTTGAAATTGCTTCTCTTTACATAAAGAAACTCTGATTGTATGTACAAAAACTAATAAAATTGAAATTTGGAGGGGCAAAGGGACATGAATGCTAGAGGGTGTGCTAGGAGAGAGTTTTAAGTGAGATTTCTAAATCTCAGGCTGGTTCTTTAAAACTCGGTGTTCATTTAGGGGCACCTGGATGGTGCAGTCAGTTAAGTGTGGGATTCTTGGTTTCAGCTCAGGTCATGATCTCAGGGTCCTGAGATTGAGCCCCTCCCCAGACTCCTGTGGAGTCTGCTTGAGATTCTCTCTCCTTCTCCCTCTGCCCCTCCCCACCGTGCGCTCTCTCTTTCTCAGATAAATAATCTTTAAAAAATTTGGTGTTCATTTATAACAAACAAAAGTAAATTAACCATATTTTATTTTTAATACTTTATAAATCAAATGAGTAATATATGTATTTTTAAGATTTTATTTATTTATCTGACAGAGCACAAGCACGGGGAGCGGCAGGCAGAGGGAGAGGGAGAAGCAGACTCCCCACTGATCAGGGAGCCCAATGCAGGGCTCGATCTCAGGACCCTGAGATAACCTGAGCCAAAGGCAGACGCCAAACTGACTGAGCCACCCAGGCGCCCCGAGTGTGTGTGTGTATATATATGTGTGTGTGTGTGTGTGTGTATATATTTTAAGATTTTGTTTATTTGACACAGAGAGACAGCGAGAGAGGGAACACAAGCAGGGGGAGTAGGAGAGGAAGAAGCAGGCTCCCCGCCGAGCAGGGAGCCGGATGGGGGGCTCGATCCCAGGACCCTGGGATCATGACCTGAGCCAAAGGCAGATGCTTAATGACTGAGCCACTCAGGTGCCTCCCGAGTAGTATATTTTTAATGAGAACCCTCTTTTGTACATGCTACGTCTCTGAGCACTAATTTTTATGAGAGTGGACAATACTTTTTAAAAACCATAGAACATGATTTCTTTCAACTTTGTAAATAAAATAAGCAATAGATTTTCCTTCCACTGGCTCTTAAGCTGGGAAGTATTTTCTGCACAGAGAAGCATATTAAATGCACTAGGAATTTTGACTCAATCTGTTAAGCATATTAAATTTCTGGGTCCATTCCAAATTTATTTAAGCTTTTGCTGTTTTCTTCTGTCAGTTAGGGTGCCTGAGGGATATCATAGCCGTTCACTATTCGAAGTCTCTAGGGACATACTAAAACATGGATCTGCAGTTAATTTCCCTTTAGTGTAAAACGTGAACCTGGGAATTCTAATAAACACATCTGGTAACTTGTGGTTGTTCTGGGAAAAGTTCCTGTGCCCAGGTTCAAGCTGCCGGGTTCAGATTTCCGGCAAGCAGCGGCCCTCGTTGGCTGGACTTCGCTGATATAAAGCAGCAGGTGAGTGGGGTGGGGCAGCATAGGTAAGGCCTCAAACGGTGACAACCGCCGAACATCAAAACGTATCCAGACCCTGCACTGCACGTGAAGTCACTGTCAAATACCTGTGTTCTTAAAGAGCGCAGGCCCATGGATGACCTTGAGGTCCCAAGCCAACCTCTGGCCCCTGGAGGACACCAGGCCCTCCTGGCCTGTCCCGTCGTGTCCCAGCCCGGCCAGGCGCGGGCACCCCTCCTTCTCTGGACAAAGAGGTGTTGCTCCAAGGGGCAACGGGGTCTGGAGACAGGCGGCGCCACCGAGCTGCGGGAATACGCCGAAATCCTCAGGGAATTAGAGCTAGTTCTACTTGGGCACAGATGTCCCTGTCGTGACCAGCCGGGAGAGGCCAGCCACGAGTGTTCCAGTTGTGCGGGATTATCCCATCAGGGGCCCTGGGGCAAGGGTGTTGGGCTATCCAATTAGGAGGGCTGGGGCGGGGTTCGGAGCACTATCCAATGAGGATCCGTGGGCTCAGAGCACCGTCCAATCAGAGCCGCGCTCCCAGCCTAGTGGCCTAGGCTCTCAGACTGCCTGAGGCACCAGTGTGCACCTGCCCCTTGGGGAGCAGGTGTCTTGAATCCGCATCGCTCTCACCCGCACGGGCCGCGGAGTCACCGCGAGGACGCCAGGAGAGCCAGGAGCGGGGCTGAGAGATGGTGAGTGTGCGGGGTCGGGCCGACACCGGGAGGGGCTGGTTCGAATAGGCCGGTACAGGCTGGAGGTGGCCGCGCCCCGGGTTCCTCCCCCAGCCCCTGTCCAGGTTCTGACCCGCGTTTCCGCTCTTGGCTGCGGGGTGAGGTCCCCGCGTCCTGTCCCATCCGCGCGTGGGTCTGGGTTCTCAGAACTTCCTGGGGTGACCAGGTGAGCGCGACTGCTATCCACCCGGGGCTGGGGGGATCTCAGTCCCGGGTCGGCTTCTCCCGGAGGACAGCCTTGGGGGGCGGGCGAGGAGTCCCGGGAGACCCGCTTAGGGCCCTGGCTCGGAGAGATCTCCTGGTAGGTCCTGGATCCCTAAGTGACCCCAGTTCCCTCCCCTGGAGGGACTTTAGTCGTCAGCCGGCAGATGCTGCTATTGAGGGAAGAGAAATGGTTCCTGCCCTCTGGGTTCTCACAGTGAAGGAAGCAAAACCAAAGAACAGAGACAACCCACCCAGTGAGCTAGTGCGGCAACCTGCAAAGCAAAATGCGCTGGAGACCTACGGTGGGACAGGAGCCTGTGCCCTTTGGGAGGGTGTTCCGGGAGCATTTCAGAGAACAGGTGGTGGGGGGTGGGTGTCCCACGTGGTAGGATGGCCCTGCTTGACCCCTGAGTCATCTATGTCTGTGTCCCAGTTCTGCACTGCCCCTCCCTGGGTTTGTCACCTTGAAAAGATTTATTTGGCTATTCGAGCCTCAGATTTTTCAGTAAATGTAAATACATTTAACTAACAGACTTTGAAAGATTAGATGAAATATTTGCAAGGAAAGAGGGAGTGGTCAATTTCAGGGGGGGAAGAAAGATCTAGTCTTGCATTTGTTAAAAATTCTTTTGTGTCTTTTTTCTCTCCTGGAGCATGTGTGGTTAAGTTTCTCACATCTGTTGTTTTCTTTTTGGTGATGACTAATGGAATTCCAGAGCTTAGCCTGGAGAATGCTACTGGGGAAAAGAATCTAAGGGAAATAGAGAAACCCTCTGTCCCATTATGAATGCATACAAATGAGTGCATTTCCGCACACAAAACGTTTGGCATATTAGTTGGTGAATTACAAAGACTCACCAAAAATGTCAGTTATTTTTTGACAGGGTGGGGAATTTATGACTGCAGATAATTCTATTCTGTCTGGTATTATTGGACTTCAGAGATTCATGCTAAATCCCAACTACCTGGAGTGGGGATAGGGGCCCTGCCCAGTGACTCCAAGCTAAGTAAGGCCAGCCAAGCAACAGCAGAGGGAGGGAATGAAATGGTTTCTTTCTGGAGAGTCTCCTGTGCCTGTGTCCTGGGCTGCCCGCACCATCTGGAGAAGGTGTGTGTGTGCCTAGAAAAGCTGCAGGGCACTAAAATGTGTGTGGCTGGTGGTGATGCCCTTCCTGAGGTTATGCTTGCCACTGCCTTGGGGATGTTTCTAAATAATACATTTGGGGTGGGCATGCACAGAGGTGGTGCACTCAGAGCATAGTTTGTGCACACTGAGAAAGTCTATCAAGGTCAGACTTAGAGAAAGACTCTTTTGGGGTCTGTCTCCTAGAGAAAGAGTTATGAATGTGGGGGTTCATTTGGGGTAGAGCCTTAAAATGACTCCAGCCAAGAATTTCCTGGCTACTGAGAATTGAAGCCTGGAGAGGGAGCATTCCCACACTGCAAGGTCGGGAGAGGCGGGTGTGTGGGGCTCCAGAGTTCATCCCTGTGTCTGCTCGGGTCTCCCTGCCCTCCATCACTGGAGACTGACCAACAGAAGGCTGGCATTTCTACAGTGAGGTTCTGGACCCCAAGCCTGTGAATGTGTCACCTTCTGAACATGGTGGGTTTTCTTTGCGAATAGTGGATAAGTGAGTGGCTTTATCTGAGCCAATGGAAATGTTTGGTTTTCTTCCCTTCTGATTTCTATATCTAATGTTGCTGCTGTATAACTCCAGTCTCCCTAAACGTTTGGCCTTTTCATTTCCCCGTTTGAGTGTGTAAGACTTATTTTCTTGGGTGAGTAGAAATGGATTGAAAGATAAAATATAAGAGAAGAGAATTCTGGAAACATACAACATTTTTCTTCCTTCTTTGACAAGAGAAAGTCCAGATAGGAGATGGGTGTATTTAAACTCTCAGGTTAATTTTTCACTTTTTCAATAATTTTTATATCAGTGATTGTCTCTATAGAGTTATGAGATTTAAAATGTACTATTCCTAAAACAATTCTTATTTTAACTGATATGAGAAAAATTACCTTTGGATATGCAAATCCTTGAAAATCATAGTGCATTGAATGGGTTAGGTCCAAACCTTTAACGTGTGAAGTATTCTACTCATTTTTTGAAAATATTCCCCAGTTTGAGGGGCCCTTGGGGGTGCAGTTGGTTAAGTGTCTGACTCTTGGTGGCAGCTCAGGTCATGATCTCAGGGTTGTGAGACTGAGTCCCACATCCGGCTCTGAGTCAGGCTCTGAGCTCAGCATGGAATCTGCTTAAGATTCTCTCAATCCCCCTCTGCCACTCCTCCCATTCACTCTCTCTCAAATAAATAAATCTTAAAAAAAAAAAAAAAACTCCCCAGTTTAAGATAGAGTGGAAACAATGACGATGTCACCTGTCATTTTAGTTGTAAAGAGGTTTGAGATATTTTATTTTTCATGGTTTACACTTTCATAAACTTTAGTTTTCAGGGAATTGTTAACCTTAAAAATTAATGTCAGTTACTTTAACAGCAAAAATGGGGTTATTCGGGAATAGCAGAGAATTGCAATTTGGGACATGCAAGCTACAGCAAAACCATAGACATGTCCAACAAACAAAGAAGAGGAACATTATGTTTTGGAGAAGGAGGAAGTTGGGAGGGCTTGTTTTGGACAAAAGTCCATTGGACAAAGGGAAGAGTTCAGGGGGATGAGAATTTCTCTGAGTTTTGGTGACAGTTTTTCTTGCTGAATTATAGGTGTAGTCAATTTCTTCTCTCTCCTTTTTTTTTTTTTTAAGGAATTCTCCATTCTTATTTTTTATTTTATTTTTTAAATTTTTGTAAGTAGGCTCTATGTCCAGTGCGGGGCTTAAACTCACAACCTTGAGATCGAGAGTCTTATACGGTACTGACTGAGCTAGCCAGACACCCTAGGGGTAGTCAATTTCTTATAGGAGATGCTGTGGACATCTCTTCCTGTCAGGGCCTGTAATTGATGGTTCTTTCCTGTAGAGATTCTTCTGTTGGAGTTTGTAATGGGCAGTTCTTGTAATCAAGGTGGAATGCTCCCCGTCTGGCCTCCCAGCTCCATGTGATTTTTTTTTTCTTCTGGGTTTTTCTTTCCTTTTTTCATTTATTATTATTATTTTTTCTTCCAACTCCATTTTAGTGAGGCTTACCTTTATTAATTTTCACAGGATTAAATATTAAAATGATTTCCTGTGTGGAAAAGTGGTTCCCAAGTAAAAATAAAAACTATTAAAAAGCAAAATATAGAGGTGCCTGGGTGGCTCAGTTAAACATCAGACCCTTGGTTTCAGCTCAGGTCATGATCTCAGGGTTGTGGGATTGAGCCTTGTGTTGGGCTCTGTGCTCAGCGTGGAGTCAGTTTGAGATTCTCTCTCTCCGTCTCTCTTAAATAAATAAATAAATCTTTTTTAAAAAGCAAAATATAACTTATATAGATTTCTCTTTATGTAAAGTAAATAATGTATGCAAAGGTTTAAAAACCTTGCAAAACACTGAAAATCTAACATAAAACAACTCCCTGCCAGCGTATTCTGGTCCATGCCAGTCCTACCCCAGCCACCCTCAGACAACCAGTTTTAATAATTTCTTGTGCATTTTTATCAGTGTTTCTTCCTATAAAAAGAAACAAAAGGCAAAGTTTTTCTTTTGTTATAGGAAAGGTAACATGATATACACAGGGCAACATACTTTTCTTATTTGTTCTAATGATAGTCCTGCAGAGCTTTTCATATAATGTCAGTTGTCTTTGATTTTCAAGTTTATGCAACTAGTTCTCTTTAATTAGGCACTTGATCTGCATCTAATATTTTTCTACCAAGGTTTGTTAATCAAAACTGACTTTTTCATATTACATGGTAAGCAAACATAAGAAAAGTGTTATTTTCCAACCTTGATTAATGCTTTAACTTTTATGGTGAAATCTATCATATTTGGAATGCATGCAAAGTTTTATTGGACATCTAAAAACTAATCACGGTGTAAACATCTGTGAATTCACCACCTAGATTCATAAATGGGCTTTGGGTAGCTGTAAGAGTCTCCTGACATGATCCTCCCAGAACTCACCACTGTCTTGTCTCATCGATGACCACTGTTTGCTTCTTTGCTTAATATTCATACCTTTACCTTTTATGTTTTTGTTTTTGTTGTTGTTGTTGTTTTTACTAAGCAGTGTTCTGCTTTGTTCTACTTCTTTGGGACGTTCAATAAATAAATATTAATGGAATTACACTGAAAAGGCTTTCCTATGGTTCTTTGCCATAGCGTGTTTTGTACATGCTACTATCTGAAAGCTGCATTCATTAAATTCTTCCATTCCAGTGCTTATGGGGTTTGGGTTTTTCAAGTTTGTTTTTCTGCTTTTGCGAAAAGTGCCACTCCTATGAGTCTTGTTTCAGTGTCCAAGGTCAGATGTGTAGTACATTTGCCCACATATTGGAGGAAAATCTTTAGATTGTAGATCATGGCCAAGTTCAAATTTATGAGACAATTCCAATGAAGTGTACCAATTGATTCTCCAAACATGTGTGCATAACTGCTTATGTGTTCCATGTGACCATCAACACCTGAGATTATCTAATTTAGTAATTTTGCCCTTCTTGGTTTGAAATAGGATCTGTTTGAGATTTTATTTTTCTATTTGCTCATTACCAGTGAGGTTGACTCTTTTTTCATATGTGGTCTTACATCTTTTGTGATACATGTTTTAGTCATTTTCCTATTTTTTATTCATTTGTTTGATCATTCATTTTTATTCTGCA